TAATCAATTATGGCCAATTTCATATTGTTTATAAAATATTGCCTGGTGGCACGCAATAGTCACATTTTTTTTTGTCTAACTGTACACTTAGATGTTGTTGTGCCGTCATGTGGCAGGAAGAGGGAAGCGCAGTCTACGTGCGCTCTCAGTCTACGTAGCATCATTTTCTCTTTCCCAGACCGCTGAGCTCTTAATACGACGTGGGAGGGGGTACGAAAAGGCGAGCAGAGGCACAAACACACAGACGCTTCTTTGCCACCTAATAATCGTATTAATGTTTTTAAACGTTACCACAGCACGTACAACAGTAATTCATATTATGACGTTTCAATAAATATTAGATCAAGAAAAGATGAAACCCGCATATTTATTCCGTATTTTTTTATGCAGCCAATGTAACAGCCAATCAAATCAATGAATACCATTCCGTCTACCTAGCAACAAACTAACCAATGTCGCAGGAGCAAGATTAAGCATGGATTCAATATCAGCAGTATTATATATTTATAAAGTCATAAATGCTACACCGATTTGCAGACATAATCCGACCGAGTGAAAGCAATCGGCACATTCTGCTTTAGAGCGTTTCAGCACCACGGCGGTGAACAGCGCCACACAGGCGGCTCGCGCACGCTGCTGCAAGAGGAAGTCTGCGTGGCCACGTGCCAGATTCCACAGGCGCCGTTATAAATAAACATACAGCACGAGCCGCCGCCCCGGGAATCACATGACCTGCATCTGCGAATGAAGCAGCCACGTGCGACATTTAATCATTGCCAATTTTTACGCAGACTAAATACACGGGAATCTGGTTTGCCAGCTGGAAACCAGAACATAAACAGTTACGGGTATCGTGCATAAACAAAATTGTTTAATTATTTTTCGTCACTGACATAATTTTAGCTAAATATTATGCATATATTTCTTATGGTATTTATTGGTAATATATCCTTTAGCATGACTAAGAGTTGTGAGAATTTGGGTTTTTATTGTAACTACTACTTTTAAATATTTTAACAACAAAACGAAATCTGAATCCAGTATGGTTCAGTTAAATGAAACACACAACCTAACAAAGAGACAGATACAGATTACTGGAAACTGTGTTTATATGGAGAAATGTATGCAAAAGATGTACCAACTTTGGTCAGCTGGCTGGAGTGATATTTTCAATTCTAGACAAGTCTGAACACACATGCACACGCCTTTACATGTATGTAACAGTTTTATTACCTTGGAAATATTCTGTAGGGTTTGCAAAGTACCCCAACGCTTTTGGTGTAACTTATTTTGGGTTTGTAATGGAATAATATATATATATTTGCTGTAAAATTTCTCGCCTGAGCATGACAGTGTGAGTGTCATGCAGATGCGTGAGAGATGGCAACCCTTATGCAATGAGTTGAGGTCCTGAAAACTGTGTGACTTTATAAATTGATCAGAACGTCAACAAAAAATAACTACAGTATTATAAGCAAATTCTTGCCCGTTAGTGCAGCCTGTTATCCTACAATGAAACAACAATATGAAGCAAATAATCCTTTGATGTTTGCCAGTGCGGCTGAGGATGCTGGTCCATGCTGTGGTACCTTTACCTGCTGCTGCACCAGTTTTGATTGTATTTATTCATTTACCTGAGGCTTTTATCCAAAAGCGTAGATGAAGAGGAAGTAGATAAGATGTCCTGGTCCTCATTTCGCTCAAAATGTGGTTTTGCATTACACATGAATTCATAATTTGATATCTAGTCAGTAGTTTCCCCATGCACGCTAGATAGGGCACCACTTATTAGTGCAGGAGAGGAGGATAAACCAGTGAAACATTAGCATTTAGGAGAGATCAGATGATCATATACTGGAAAAACATACTGATATTTGTGAAAATCCAAGAGTTACTCAGACATATAGATACATTTTTAGGTTTATAGTTAGGATAAATGTCAGTTGTTTTTTGTGTTGATTGTGATAATGAAAATAATGCAATTATTTAGCTTGCATTACTGTTTACTACCCTCCTCTCCTGCACTTCAAATGCGTTTTTGTTTGTACATGCTGCACACCTCTCTGGATGCCTTGAAAGACAAACCCAAAATTCCTCTTTTTCAATAAGCACTGAGCAAATCAGAATAATTACAGAGTCAGCAAATCATTCAGTGCTGGAGAACTATAGCTAGCTGACAGATCTGCAGCAATGCAGATGCCAGAAGATGAGCAAAACTGTGGACTGTAAAACAATTATCCTATAAATGTATTGGTTTAACAAGAATGTAGGACTGTGGATACCCCCATATTAAAACACTATCTGAAATAATATTGTTCTACCAACCATCAGTTCTCTAGCTGCTTGTTCTAGGTTATAGGCTATTGTCACACTGTATTTAAATATATTAACTGGCATGAATAGGCTTGTACTGAATCTATATTAGGTAAGTAGCAGGAAAATATTTTGTACTTGTACCATTGTCTTATCTAAAAATTATATGTGAAACAATGGGCTTGAATTTCCTTCTTTGATCTGATCTCTGACCTGTAATTTTGTATTTGATTTAACCTGATATATGTCCAGGGCCGGTCAATAATATATGCGACATAGGCGGCCGCCTAGGGCACCAACTTCTTAGCGGGGTCCGATTTGCCAGCCAGTTTCACTTTGCCTCAGACAGAGGGCGCCAGCAGTGATGCTCGCCCAGGACGCCACATCGGGTAGGAGCGGGACTGTATACGTCTGTATTAATAACGCTATATATCATATCCTAGCCTGCATCTATGATTAGAAAACCTTGTTGAAATTCTTGTATTAGGTTTGACCCTTTTGTCAGTGACTTATTTAGATATTGTATAGGTAGTAAATAAAAAAATATTCTTACCTTTATGGGAGACACATCAAAGGAGAGCAGGAACACCATGGAAAAGGGAGACAGAAAAGTACCATTAAATATCTAGATTTATACATTATGTGACTAAAAATTGTCAATACTTGAATCCCATCTGGAACTGCAGAGTACATGTCACTTCAGGTTCTGCAAAACTGTAATGATAAAGATGATACATTAATAATAGATGATGTGCTGGAGAAGAACCATCAGCAGTGACCATTGAGGCCTGTCACACTGTCATGTGTAGCTAAGAATCATTTAGCTCTGCTGGACGAGGGTCAGTCATCTGAGACTGAGAGACAGGTATTCTGAGAAGAGCAGCTAGCCTCGGTGTTGGGGGCAGATGTTATGAAAATATGGGAGAATATTCCAATATAAGGAATAAGGATGATCAGACTGGAAAAAATCTATCAAATCAAAGGAGTTAGTTTGAAAAAAAGGACAGGTTACTTCAAGCAAAGGGGCATTTAGTCTGGAAAAAAGCAGAGGTTAGTTTAAGCAAAGAAGCAGATATTCTTTGGAAAAGGAAGAGGCTGGATCAAAGGGATAGATATTGTGGGGAAAGGGGCTGATAGTCTAAGCAGAGGAGAGAAGCAGCCAGTGTCAGTCTGTGAATGAAGAGAGAAACAGGTTTGGTTTGACAGGCGCTGGAAGGTATGAAGCAGCAGGGTTACAGGGAAGCACTGAGCCAGCAGCAGAAGCTGAGACTCCGGGCCGGAGCAGGAAGAAAGCAAGTCCGCTGTGGAACTGCCATAGAACACAGCACTTAGAAAGCGGCTTGAAAAGGCGAAATAGCGAGAAGCTAAAGAGTGAATTAGCTAATGAGTGAGAGGAACGATTCTGGAAAATGTTTTCCAGAAGACGGTTCTTTTCAATCTGGAACATGGCAGCTAAGCACTGTAAAAAAAGAAGAAGTTAAGACAACTTAAAGTTTCAAGGCAACTTACTACACTAGAATTCTTAGCTGAGGGTAACTCAGACTTCTTTGAAGAAAACCACCTATTGTTATGCTGAGTAATTATTTTTCGTTCTAATAATTTATCTTTCATATCTACAAAAACTTCAAATTTGTAATTTTACATACTAAGAATTCGTAACAACAAAAGTTGTTCGAACCTATTGTGTTTTCTTGAGATTTACCTTCCATATGTGTAAAGACTTAAAAATGTGAGCTACAAGGTGCCCCCCCCCCACCCCTGGATATGAATGCCACCAAAACTCTGAAGTTATAAAACTGTAAACAGTGTTTTTGTATTACCACCATATTCAGCTTATGTTCTGTATGCCTGAGCATGTGGCTCTGTGAGCTGAGCCTCTCTACTCATGGATTAAAGGTCACTAGTTCAAGCCCAGCATCAGCACATGTGGGGGCCCTTGAGCAAGGCCTGTGACCCCCCCCAGCTCCCTATAGGCACCACATCAGGCAGCTGCCCTTCACAGTCAAGTTTGCTGTCATTCCCCACAGGGATCCTCAAAATCTGTCTGCTATTATTTATTACTATCATGTTTAAAATAAACATGCTAATTGAACTGTTTTGTTCTCTTCATTTATAATAATTAGTTGGCACAGATTTTGTGGTTTTGAACTCTTCTTAACTCAAATTTTACGCATATGAAAGATAAATCATCTGAGCAAAAGACAGTAAGTTGGCAAAACTTTTGTGGTTTGTAATTCTTAGCATGTAAAACTGAAAATCAGAAGTTTATATAGATGTGAGAGATGGATTACCTGAATAAAAATATTGTCACAACAATAGGTGGTTTTCTCAAAACTCAAAAATCTAGTGCAGTAGGTTGCCTTGAAATGTTAGGTTGTCTTAAGTTTTTCTTTTTTTACAGTGAGGGGAATATAATCAACATACACATATTCTTCAGTGACAAGAAAGATGACTTTAATGATAGATATTAGTATAGATTTAAGGATTCTGTGGTTCAGACAATAATTTTTTTTAGAGGAAGGGAAGCGAGGATCTGAAATAAGTATGTCGTATGATGAAAGCAGAATTTATACTTTTTCAATTCAATTCTCTTTTTCACTTCCCCCTCTTGTTCCTCCTCAAGAACAACCTTGGCAGTGAAGGGCAGCCACCCACTGCAGCACCCAGCAAGCTGGGGGTTAAGGGCCTTACTCCAGGACCTGCAAAGATGGCAGACCCAGGCTGAAAACAGCAACCTTCAGATTATAGAGGCTTAGCCCACTGAGCCACATGCATGCTGCCCCAAACCACACCAAGTAGTGGCATTTATCAGACATGTAAACACTAAATATTCAAACAAACAGTACATGCCAATTTACCCCTGTTTTCTACAACATACATGTTCTTATTCTGAACAACCATCCAGACATGGCAGGGCAGAGGACTCACTTAGAGTGGTTGGTGTTTGTGTCACTGCTTTACCTTGGTGCTGTGTGACTGCTTTATGATTGTGAGCTTCTGTGTGTCTCCTCCCATACTTTATATGTGTGAATCTACTGAAATACCCAGCTGCTCTATTCCTGGAGGATCATTCTGTGGCATCACTGTGCAATAACACTGAAATGTGTCAATATTATTGTACTGGATTCTGCATAGCAACCAGGTTACAGGTAGATTGTTTATGGAGCTGCAGGAGAAACGGAAGATTCTGCTAGGAGGATGAATGAGCTCACATGTTTTTACCATGATATGCAAAGCTCTACTTGGACAACTTCACAGTTCAAGAAATAATTTCCATGCCATTATTTTTTGCATTTAGGGTGACCATACCTACCATACACCTCTTTAGTATAATGACCACAATAATATACATTTTTAACATTAATAGTGAGCACATCCCAATAATGAATTACTCAATCAATTAAATTTGATTATATAGCACTCTTAAAAGGAAAATTCAAAATGCATTTTGATTGCAATCTGATTTTCCAGAGGGAATAGAAAAAGAACAAAAAGACATACGTACAATACGTTAAAAACATCCTGGACTGGTCATATGCCTACTGACATGCTTTTAGAAAATGCTCATAATGCTTGAAAATGTAAACACTGTTTTGTGTTCGCGGAAGTGCAAGAAAAGAAAGGAGAAGGGGGGGGGGGGGGGTGGAGAGAAAAATAATAATATAAAAGCAGCATTATAAATTATTGTAAATGACCCCAAACATCTGCTGCCGGAACACTCCGAGGGGAGTATCCTAGTAACAGCAGTAATGCGGATTGTGATTCGTCACTCAGTCCCGCAGTGTGTGGATATTCGGCCCGAAAGGGCTGCAGTGGCAGTCGGTCCTGAGCGCAACAGAATCTGCTGCAGTCATAGTGTCTCAGTAGGATTTTAATTCAGGTAGAACACTTCAATTTAGGATAATAACTGTTAAAATTGTGTCATTTCATAAAACAAATCATGTGATGCAACAAATTAATAACAATGCTATTCTTCTTGTCGTGATAGTGATGTAGATTACTGTACATAATCATAATTGTGTAAAAAAGATGCAAGCATTTAAAGCAGATAAACAGGCTCACAGACCGTGACACACACAAACAAACAGACACATACACAGCCTGATTCCCAGGCTTTCCATTATAAATATAACACACACACACACCCTGCAGAAGTGCTGCGCCCCTCCCCCCACTAAATGTACAGGCAGCTGCAGGCTACGGGCAAAGCCATCAGCGCCCGACAGGGGCTGCTTTCTGCCTTTATATCATATTCCTCACAGATATATGCAGCATTTCATTCAGCCCCTACTTGCACCTCCCCCCGTTGTTCTAAAAATGGTACTGCCTCTAGAGTGAGTCAGACAGTTTCCACGGTAACACATCCCACCTTCTGTCCTATGAGCTAACAAGAAAAAGAGACGAGCTGCCTGAGAAAGAAAGAAAAAAAAAAAACAAGTATCCGAAAACCAGTGGAAGCAGAGAGTCCAGGGACTAATACGAGATGCAATCCAATAATCTTCTTTGGAGACACGACACGGCTAGGGAAGGAGGAGAGAGAGATAATGGGTGGGAAGGGGCGAGAAAATAGGCCAGGCTTGGGGTTTGGAAAAGGGAACAGAGAGGCTATAGGCAGGCAGGAAAGATACAGGAGGCAGGGAGCAGATACAGGAAGCACCACAAACTCAGACCACGACCCAGAGACAGAAAATGAAGCAGTACTAATGCAAGGATATTCACCCAGGAGGTGAAGGCACTGAGATACTGTGGAAAGCTGCCCCCAAATAGGACAAGCAGTTGGACCAAGCAGTTCCCTTGAGTGATTTCGTATGCGCATGAGAAAAGGAGGAATAATTTCCTTGGCCCTTTATAGAAATACTCCAATTTCCATCTATAAGCTTCTGCTTTGAAAGCTGCAGGAATGACAGAGGCAGTCTGCATGTCTGTATGCACAGTGTCACATGTACACAAATAGAATGAAGAGCAAATTATTCCTTCACAATTAAATGGAGGGAGGTATTAGCAGTCTGCACATCTGTAAATGCAGTGTCACATCTACACAAATAGAATGAAGAGCAAATTATTCCCTCCTTACATGAAGGGTTCAATTATTCAGTCAAGCACACCCAAAAATTCAAGCAGTCCATCATTTTTGCTCACTCACCCAGACACACACAGGAGTGGGTGTCCACACTTCCATCACACCAAAGATGACGTGTAATTCACTCATCATCCCCATGTTCTCTAAGTCCTTGTGCCCATCACTTACTCACAAAATGAACTAGTTTCAGGAAGTTTAGCCGTTGAAGCCAAACTAAATAAACAAGCTCTATTTTCCACAGGACTCAGTAAAAACACTCACTTTGGTTTCTAGAACATGTGCCAGCTGATTTAACTTATTTTTAAACACTTAAACAAGTTTGCTAACACAGGTAAAATAACTCACTGTACCACTGATAAGCACTCACTCACTTTTTCTTTAACACAGACACAGAAACACACTTTGTAACGCACTCTTAAATGTCCTGCTTTTGTTGTCTGCATTATCTATCAAATATAACCAATTAATCAGTTACCTGATGAATAACACCCCCCCCCCCCAGGTGATCCAATCACTGTCACTTTTAATAGTAAATGATAAGTGCTTAAGGTGTGAAGAGCAGGGAGGGTTGTAATGCTGGGGAGTGGGTGGGTGTTTCTCAATACCAAGAACACAAAGACCGTACTTGTGGTCTTGGCAAGACCGCTCTTGCTAACTTGCCTCTCAAGAACAAACTTGGGGAGCAATGAATCATGGGATTGGTCTCGTTAGGTGAGAATGCAACCAAGGTGTCCTTGATATTTGGGGCAGAGCATCTGGTGATTTTTACCATCCATTGTACTTCTGTTCGTAAGTATTGGAACTGGTCCTTGGCAATGGAAGATGACGCAAAAGAGGTACGTGAGGTCACAAGTACGGTCAAGCACGCATGTTGAGAAACACCCACTGTCTGGCTGGCCTCGCTTTAGAAGACCTTATACAGATAGTTTCAGTGGAGGATCAGCTTGCTGCTCTGCTCTGCAGGTGGAGCAGAAACGGTGCAGGACATCATCACAGTGCGGTTTACTGCGGATCTGGTGGAATACGACGGTGACTAATGCTTTACTTAAGCTCAGTGCTGACTGAGTAAAAAAAAGGAAATGGAAAATGCTACAGTGTTAGCAGTGCAGGTCACTGCAGGTCACTGCAGGCCAGAACAATGTCAGCCTAACAGCACTGGCCAGGGCTGCAGCCTGACACTGTCTAAAAGATAAGGAAATAGCATAGAAGAATCAACGAATAAGGTAAACTGAATTCAGCTACAGCAGAGCAAGAAAAATCAGTATTACACCTAATATGAGGCCCAATGCACAACACCTTTCTGTCAAATCACACCCACTCATCAACACTGAGTGGCTATATACAGATACACATATATATGAGAAAAAACCTGCAGGTCAGTGTATTTGACCCATAATATGCTACGTACAAAAAAATTCACCCTTGCAATGGTCATAAATGCAACTTCACATAACCATTGCAAGACAGCTTTGAGCAAATACATTACACTTAGCAACAGATAAAATTTTCAGCAGGCAGCATTTTCATTGCCTTTTGCTGTGATAGAAACAACACACATATTTAATAGAAAGGTATAGCTCTTTGGAGTAACTGTCGCGGCGGTGGGACAGAACCCTCCTGTTCACACACACTAGGCAACAACTGTGCTTTATTTCCGCTAAATGTTCAAAGGCACAGCCAAACACAGGGCCTCGACGCTCAGAAAAAGGGTAAAAATGTGTACCTTTTTAGGTACAGAAATGGACTCTGAGGAACATCCCAAAGGTACAAACAGCATTAATGTACCATCAATGGTACAGAAATGTTCCTGAGTCCATTTCTGTTCCTTAAAAGGTACAATTACCTACAGCTAAGGGTACAATTGGCAGATCCTTGAGGGTGCAGCCCCAGTGACAAGCAAAGGTACAAATCTTTACCCTTTTTTCTGAGAGTGCACTGCAGAATGAGAGGAATAGGAATGTAACACATGCTGGGAAACACTGAGACTGCAGCATTTGTAGTGACTTGGAGATAAAGCTGCACATGGTATATTATAGATGGAACAGTGTGTTAAAGATACCAGCAATCAGCAGGAGACCAGACAGCTCATTTTATGAGACTTTTTTTCTTTCTTGTGAAAATATAAAGATACTTATAATCCTCCTATAACATAGCAATTCAAAAATAAACATTTACAAAAATAATATTGCTAAATCTGCACAGAAAAAGAAAACAAGCAGGGTATACGCATAAAGTTTCCATACAAATTACTGACTCCGGCTAAGTCCTTGTTGCTGCCTGGCCACAGTGTTCAGACATCTGACTGCACCAGCTATCAAGAAGGACAGCCCCTCCCCCCCGGAGCCAAGCATCACCAAAATAATCAGATAAGTAAACAAAAACAGAAGCACGTGCTTATCCCCAGCACAACATTCTTTTATATCAAAAATACTTTGATATGATTTTTTAAACAAAAACTCACAGTCCAGCACATTAAATTAATATTTTACGATACACTGTTAAATACCAATCAATTTGTTGTTACAATACTGTGATTACAGCAGTAACACATACAGAAGCATGACTGCCTGCATCTGGATGAAGTAACTGTTTTATGGACACTAGTATGTGAGTATGGAT